ATATTGTTTTCCAAAGTGGTTGTACTAGATTACATTCCCACCCGCAGTGTATGAGGGTTCCGTTTCCCCCGCATCCTCGCCAACATTTGTTGTTGTTGGTGTTCTTGATGGTAGCTATTCTGACAGGAGTTAGGTGGAATCTTAGTGTGGTTTTGATTTGCATTTCCTTTATGGCCAGGGATGGTAAGCATTTTTTCATGTTTTTTGGTCATTTGGACTTCTTCCTTTGACAAAGTTCTGTTTAGTTTAGTTGTCCATTTCTTTATTGGTTCACTGATTTTTGGGGAGTTTAGTTTTTTGAGCTCTCTGTGTATTCTGGTTATCAGTCCCTTGTCTGATGTATAGCTAGCAAGGATTTTTTCCTACTCTGTGGGTGGTCTCTTCAATTTAGAGACCATTTGTTTTGTTGTGCAGAAGTTTTTTAATTTCATGTAGTCCCACTTATCCATCCTTTCTCTTAGTTCCTGAGCTGCTTGAGTTCTACTGAGGAAGTCCTTGCTATACCTGTTGTTTCCAGAGTATTCCTTGCTCGTTCCTGTGCTAACCGCAAGATTTCAGGTCTACTATTAAGGTCCTTAATCCACGTTGAGTTGATGCTAATACAGGGTGATAGACATGGATTTAGTTTCAGTTTTCTGCAGGCAGATAACCACTTTTCCCAGTAACATTTGTTGAAGAGGCTGTCTTTTCTTCATCGTATGTTTTTGGCACCTTGTCAAAAATAAGGTGGACATAACTGTGTGGATTCATATCTGGATCCTCTGTTCTGTTCCATTGGTCTTCATTTCTGTTTTTGTGCCAGTACCATGCTGTTTTTATTGCTATGTCTTCGTAGTATAAAGTCGGGTATTGTGATACATCCAGTGTTGCTCTTGTTGCTCAGTATTGCCTTAGCTGTTTGCAGTCTTTTGTATTTTCAAATGAACTTTAGGTAGATTTTTCAGTCTCTGTGATGAATATCATTGGGATTTTGATGGGAATTGTGTTGAACATGTAGATTACTTTTGGTAGTACAGCCATTTTTACTATATTGATTCTTTCAATTCATGAACTTGGGAGATCTTTCTACCTTCTGTAGTCTTCTTTGATTTCTTTCTTCAGTGGTTTGTAGTTCTTCTTGTAGAGGTCATTCACATCATTTGTTAAGTTTATTCCTAGGTATTTGATTTTTTTGAGGCTATTGTAAATGGAATTGTTTCTCTTTATTCTTTCTCAATTTGTTCATTATTGGTGTATAGAAAGGCTACTGAGTTTTGTAAGTTGACTTTGTATCCTGCTATATTGCTGAAGCTGTTTATGGTGTCTAGGAGTTTTTTGGGAGGAATATTTTGGGTCTTTGAGGTATAAGATCATGTTGTCTACAAGTAGGGATACTTTGACTATTTTTTTACTTTTTATATTCCTTTTATTTCTTCTTCTTACCTTATTGCTCTGACTAGGAATTCCAGGACTGTGTTGAATAGGAGTGGGGAGAGTGGGCATCCTTGTCTTGTTCCTAACTTTAGAGGAAATGGTTTCAATTTTCCCCCATTAAGTATGATGTTGGCTATAGGGTTGTCATATATAGCCTTTGTAATGTTGAGGTACATTCCTTCCATTCCTAGTTTTCTTAGAGCTTTTATCATGAAATGGTGTTGAATCTTATGAAAGGCCTCTATACATCTATTCAGATGATCAAGTGGTTTTTAATCTTTGCTTCTGTTATTGTATGTATTACATTTATTGATTTGTGTATGTTGAACCATCCCTGAATCCCTGGAATGAAAGTGACTTGGTCATAGTGAATGATCTTTCTGATATGTTGTTGGGTCTACGGCCATACCACCGTGAACACGCCTGATCTCGTCTAATATGTTGTTGGATTTGGTTTCCCATGGTTTTATTGAGAATTTTTGCATCAGTATTCATTAAAGAGATTGGACTATACTCCTTTTTGGATATGTCCTTGTCCAGTTTTGGGAGGAGTGTAATACTGGTTTCATAGAATGAGTTAGGCAGTGTTCCTTCTCTTTCTATTTTTTGGAAAAGTTTAAGCACTCCCTGTTCTTAACCTGAAGCCAGTAGTTGTTTTTATGAACAATTGCTCCCAAATTTGGCTTATGCCTTTGATTGTCCAGTTTTGTTGTTGCCTTTTCTATAGTGCCAGAAATCCTACCCTTCTTTTAGGTTTACTCTCATATTTACCTTTCTTTGTTATTCATTCATTTTGCCTCACAAATGTCTGAGTTCACATCCCATGTGACTGAAGTATGTCCTTTGAAATTTTCTATAATGCAAATATGCTGGTGTCATAAGTTTTTCTGAATGTGTGTTTATTTTACTCTGATCTGTGAAGAGTATTCTATTGAGTATAGAATTCTAGGTTTTCAGTTATTTTTTTATTTTCAGCACATTGAAAGCAAAATTACATTGCTTTCTGCTTTCTATTTTTGCTATTGAAATCAGTGGTTAATCTATGATACCTTTGAAGGTAATTTTAGTCAGGTAGCATGGAGGGTCTTATTTTTGTTTTGGTCTTCTGTAGTTTCACTTTTTAATTTTCTATGTTTTGATACAGTTTTATTTACATTGCTTGGGACCTGTTGGGTGTATTGTACCTGTGAATTAGTGGGTTTCTAAATTCTGTTGAATTACTTGTTAGAATATACTTTATTTCACTCATGCACTGTGATGTATAGCCCTTTTGTGGTTGGACCTCAGAATAGAGGGACTTCTTTAATATGTCGATGAGGCCTTGGCCTGGACCTGGGCTTTGAATTATGCCCTTATCACCTGTGAACACTGTTAGAAACAAAGCCCTAAGTTTGTATAGATTGGCAGTGTCTTCATGTCAAAAGCCTTCTAATTTCCACTTTTTCTCTGTGATCTTTCCTTCTTAGTTTGGAAATTCTCTGGTGATTATTATTATTTTAAAAATATTGTAACCAGCATATTTAGTTCTCAATGGAAAGGTTGTGCAGCCTGACGTTATCAGAAATAAATGGCTCCCTTCTTCCACTCACCCCCTGGGCAGTCTAGTCTTTTATATTTACCGTCTACATATTTACCATTGCAGATGCTCTGCATTCCTTCTTGTGGCTCTAGATTTCTGTCTAGTGTCACTGCCCTTCATTCTGAAGAACTTGTAGCATTTCTTGTAGTGCAGGTCAGCATTCTTATTCCTAGACTTTAATGTAATCTTCATATTTGAATGAAACTCTGGCTTACATTGAAATTCTTGGATTACTAGGATTGAATTTTTATACAGCCCAGTGTAAAACTAATTGCATGAATGTGTTTACTATGTAATCATCGTGCTGTATATCTGTTTTCTCCCTCTGGAATTTCAGTGTCTTCCCATTGTCCCTTCTCACCTTGTTCAAGAGAAAAACTGCCACAAAGCCAAAACCAGTTACCAGTATATGAAGACCCTTGGATTAACTTATTTATATAATATTAACTTCACTAATTTAATAAGATCGATTATGTTTACATTTGGTGACATTTACTATGGGGGAAATAAGTGAAAGTAAGTTAGTATTGCACTGTATTTCATTTCTATTGATGTTACTAAAGCCCCTTGACAGTTTGACTTTTCAGAGTGTTTCAGTTACCTAGATGGAAAATAATGTCTTTTCCAAGCATGAATTTGGTCTTGTCATTCTTAATTTTATAACCTTTCAGTGGCCTCACATCTTGTACTGAGTAGTGTTTTCTCCTTGGCAAGGCATAAAAGAGCCTTTAAAGTCCCCGTTTTTCTCTTCAGTTTTGTGTCCTGCCACTCCTGTCAGTGGCTCTTAGCTCCCTGAACACACTTCGCTATTTCACACCTCTGATCTCTGGTATATCATGTTCCTTTTGCCTGGAATTCCTCATTTTAACTTAACAAAATCGTACTTGTCCTTTAAAAGCAAGTTTCTCACCTTCTCATGTCTTCCCTGTTCTTCAGAGTTTGTTATTCCTCCTGTGTTCTATGTAATTGCCTAATTCTGTTGTTGAACTTTCTGTGAAGGACTGTGATTATTTTTGTTTTGTTTTTGTGGTGCTGGGGTTTGAACCTAGGGCCTTGTACATGCTGGGCAAGCACTCTACCATTGAGCTATATCCTAGTGATTTAATTATTTTAAACAGAGATCAGAGCTCAGCTATAAGTTGGAGGTCCTTTAGGGTCAATGTTTATGTGTTGGCATTTTTTTCTCTTTTTTTCCATGCTGGGATTTGAACTTAGTGCCTTGCACTTGCTAAGCAGGTACTCTACCTCTTGAACCAGGCCCCCAGCACTCTCCCCATTTTTTTTTGTGGTTCTGGGGTTCTAACTCAGGGCCTATACCTTGAGCCATCCCACCAACTCTCCCTCCAACCCCATTTTTGTGATGGATTTTTTTTGAGATAGGGTCTCTTGAAAACTATTTGCCCGGGTTGGTTTTGAACTGAGATCCTCCTGATCTCTGCCTCCTGAGGATCTCGGATTGCAGGTGTGAGCCACCAGTGCCTGGTAGCCCCTTTTTGCTTTTAGCTGATTTTTAGGTAGGGTCTCAAATTTTTGCTCAGGGCTGGCCTTCTATCTGTGGCCTCCTGAGAAGCTGGGATCACAAGCATGTGTTACCACACCTTCCTTATTGATTGAGATGAATACAATCAGTCAATCAATTTTGATTGTGCTGGCCTTGAAACTTGATTCTCTTGATCTCTGCTTCCTGAGTAGATGGGATTTATAGGCAGGAGCCACTTGGTTGGCTTTTGATGAGCACATGCTAAGTGTTGAATAAATGAGTGAATTACTGTATGAAACTGTGTCAATGAAGGATGGGAATGTATGTTACTTTTAATGACTATACTAAGCAGATAAATTCAGAAGCACCATTATCATCCTCTTTGTGTTAATTGGAATGTCTGGTTCACTTAAGTGCAATTTATTTTAACTTAGGTCTTTTGGTTTTTAGAAATGAAATTATTTGCTGCCTATTTGAAATAATTGTAAATTTTAGTCTTCTAAAGTATGTTTTTATTTCCACCAACAGAATCCAACGTGGCGGAGTCTTGATTTTGGAATAATGCCGGATCGTCTTGATACATCTGTGTCTTGCTTTGTGGTGAAGATATGGGGTGGAAAGGATGACATCTATCAGCTGTTGATTGAATGGAAAGTCTGTTTGGATGGGCTGAAATTCTTGGGTCAGCAGGTAATTTTTAGATTGCAGTTTCAAGTAGCTGTCATCTCCAAATTAACCTGACTAATCTTTCCATTGATTCTTCTGTCTCTACATTTTCTGTTATAGAGACTTCTATGATTGCTTACTTATGTTATTGTTTATGTTATTTATGGTCATTATGCTTGACTTGTTACCCAGTTTAAACAAATACCTGAAGAAAGTTACATGCTTCTCACATTCTGCTTTTTCTGCCTTGTACGTTCTACCCTAGTCTGCAAATTAGGTTGAAATAAGGAATACACCACTAAACATCTCTCTTTTGACCAGTAGAGTTGAATTATTATGGGAATAAACAGGGATAACAAATGTTTGGCTTATATACTGGTGCCTGTCTCCCTCCTTTGCTGTACCCATCACTGATGCAGTTCATTCTCTGAGCTGAGCTCAAGAGCAGCTCCATGAGCCTAACAGTGTTCCAGAATGCAACTAGCAATCTATTAGAATTGCATAAGAAGTGAAACCTATTTGACTTTCTCACATAAAGGTTATCAAAGTTAATGTTTTTAGCAATTGCCCTTATTTTCCAGATGGGAAAATAGCTTCAGAGAGTTTTAAAAAATACTCAAGATCACACAGTAGAGTGGAACTATGTATAAATCCAGGCTTGGCTAATTTAAAAATTCATTCTCTTTGTGCTATGCCACACTAGAATATATGTGTGATCCTAGGTAACCCTCCACTTCACCTTATAATGAATACTATTTCTATTTTGTGATATTTATGTTACTGTTATTAAGAGTAACTCTAAAATGTTAGTCCTAGATTGAATATCTTGAATATTTTCTTAATATTCATTCAACATATGTGTTCTGGTGTGTTTCTTTTTGAAGAAACACTTTAATTCTGCATATTTTGTTCAGATTGGAAGAAAATCTTTCATTTCAGTTGCTTACCATACTTTAATTTTTATTTTATTTTTTGCAGTGCTAAGGGTCAGATCTAGGACTGGGTCATACTGAGGAAGCACTCTACCACTGAGCTATCCCCAGGCCTACAATAGATCTCTTGTGATTCCTAACCAAATTTTATATCCTTTGACCAATATCTACCCACTTACCCTGACCCAGCGCATGTTACCACTATTTTATTCTCTACTGCCATAAGTTCCACTTTTTCAGATTCTACAAGTGATGTCATGTTCTTGCCATATTTTAATTTATTTTGTGTTTTTGTAGAAGTTTTCTAGTTTCAGGTTTTACATCTACCCACTGAATTAACATTTATATGAAGTACAAGGTTCATTATTAGGCAGATGGATGAATAGTTGTTTCTGTGCTCTTTGTTGTAAAGTCTGTTATTTCTCCTATGAATTACTTTGTTATCACTGTTGAAAATCAGTTGTTGAAAGTCATTTGTGTGGGTCTATTTCAGGGCTCTGGCTCATTGATCTGTATGTCTGCCCTCTGGCCAATGGGAAGTTGTCTTGATTACTGTAGTTTTATGGTGTATCTTGAATTCAGGTAACATGAGTGCTCTTACTTTATTCTTTTTTTGAGAATTTTTCTGGCTATTCTAAATATGTATCAGTTAAAACATTTAAATAAAAATAAGCAAAATTATTCCAGTTATTCTGTTTTTTGCTTTTCCATATATACCTTAGAATCCATTTGTCAATTTCTATCAAAATCCCTTTGATAGGAATCTTAAGAAAAATTTTATTTTACAAACATTTTTATTAGCATATATTTTTTGTATGGGGGAATCTAAGAAACTGGGAAGAATTAACATCTTACTAGTATTGAATCTTTCAGTCTGTAGACATATGTTCATTTATGAAAATTCATTTATGAAAATCTTTGGCTTTATCAGTGTTTTATAGTTTTTAGTATATAGACATTGTACTACTTTGTTAGCTTTATACCTGTTGGTTCCAAATTTTAATGTGAATTTAAATGGCATTCTTTTAAAAGTATTCCTGTTTCCAATTTTTGTTGTACTTTTAAAAAAGTATACATTTCTATATTGAGCTTATATTCTGTGACCTTGCTAAACTCACTTTTCTGTCCAGATTCTTTTGTAGATTGCTAAGTAAACTGTCATTGTCTGTGAGCTCTTCCTTTCTAATGTATGCATGTTTTAGTTCTTTTATTTCATTGGCTTAGAACTTGACTATAAGTTGAATATAAGTAGAATAGACATTCTTGTTTTTTTCTTGATTTTGGGGGGAAAACTTCAGTCTTTCACTATTAAATATAATAGTTGTAATTAAAAAAAATACTTTATCAAGTTGAAGAAGTTCCTTTTTTTTTTTTTTTTTGTTTGCCAGGACTGAGACTGGAACTGGAGACCATACCTCTAGTTCATTTTGCTCTGGTTATTTTGGAGATGGGGATCTTGAGAACTATTTGCATCGGCAGGCTACAAACAGCAATTCACCTGATCTCAGATTCCCATGTAACTAGGATTATAGATGTGAGCCACCTGCCCCTAGCTCTTTATATTCTTAGTTTGTAGATGAGTTTAATCCTGAAGGAATATTGAGTTTTGTCAACTGATTTTTGTTTGTTTTGCATTCCTAGTACAAACCCTACTTGGTTGTGATACATTGTCTTTTACATGTGTATATATATGTGTATATATATATTTATACTTATCTATGGATAAACATGTTTTTATGTGCTGATCAGTTTGATTTGCTTATGTTTTGTGTTAAGGTTTTTCGTGTCTGTATTCATGAGGGTTATTTGTCTGTACTTTCTTTCAGTGCTCTTGGCCATCTGGTTTGGTATCACAGTAATACTGGTCTCATAAAATGGAATGCAAAGTGTTTACTTCCATTTCTAGATGAGTTTTTGTAGAGTCGTTGCTATTTCTTCCACAAATGGTTGACAGAGTTCTTCATTGAAGCCATCTGGATATTAAGATTTCTTTGTGGGAAAGTTTGAAAGTATGATTTCACTTACTTTATTAGATACGGAGCTATTCAGGCTATGTATGACTTCAGTGAATTTTAATCATTTTTCTTTCAAAGGAGTCTATTTCATCTGAGATTTCAAATTTATTGATAGAAAGTTTTCTGCAATATTATTATATCCTTTGGATGTGTATAGGATTCTGTAATGATCTTTTGCTGTTGCTACTGGTATTTTCTGTCTTTTTCTTTTTTTCTTGATTACTTTTACTAGAGCTTTATCAGTTTTATTAACTCTTCAAAAACTATGACTTCATTGATTGTCTTGTTATGGTTTTTAATTTCATTGATTTCTATTTTTTTCTTTATTATTATCTGCTTTGGGCTTAATTTGCTTCTCTTTGCCAGTTTCTTAAGGGGGAGTCACTGATTTGAGACTTTTGTTCTTAGAAAAAGCATTTCATAAATCTTCCAATAAGCATTCTTTAGTTATATCCCACAAATTTTGATACCATGTTTCACTTAATTTCTAATATTTTCTGGGAAGGCTTTTTTTTTTTTTGGTGGTACTGAGGTTTGAACTCAAGGTCTCATGCTTGCTAGGTAGGTGCTCTTACTGCTTGAGCCACTCTGCCAGCCCATGTTCCTAATATTTTCTGATTTATCTTTTATTTCTTTTTTGCATCATGAGTTACTTAGAGACATATTTAGTTTTTAAACATTCATGGATTTTCCAGATATCCTTCTGTTGCTGATTTTTGCTTTAATTTTATTGAGCTTAGAGAAAAAATATTTGAGTGATTTCAGTCTTTTAAAAAATTTTTTAGACTTGTTTTATGGCCTCAGATTTTTGGTTTACCATGACATGCACATGTCATGTTGTCATTGAATGCAGTGTTTTACAGTGTCAGTTAGGTTATGTTGGTCTTGAGTAAATTTTGAGTGATACATTGGAATAAGCCAGAGAAGAAAAGATGAGAGCAGGCACAGAATTATGGCAGCACAGAGCGTGATCGATTCCCTTTATTTTCAGTTGAGGAAACCAGAGACACAGAGTGACAGTGTGACTTGTCAAAAGTTACAGACTCATGCCGGGACTACACACGATGTCTACGTTCCCTGAATAAACTGTTAGAGCTTGTCAGGATGTGGTTACCAGAAGTCAGGTACTAAGCTGGGCTTCATCTGTATTATGATGACAAAGAGTCAGGGGAATTTGGAAATAGTCAAGATAGGAATTTGGAGAATTTGTTGATACTGCTTATGTGGGCCATGTGGCATCCAGACTTATGTGTAATGGCAGAAGTTTGTAAGCTTAGTTTAAGTGGCTAGAGCTCTATATTAATAACAATAACAATTGTGTATCCCTGCAGTGGTTGTGCACATAATGACTGGGGGCTTTTTGAAGATCAAGGGAGCGGATACTGTTACTTTCCTCAGTGTTTGATTGAAAAAACAGAAGCTCAGAGAGATTAGGTGATTTGCTGAAGGTCACACAGTGAGTGATTGATGGATTTAGGTTATGACTTGTTCCATGGCCCAGACTGTATGTTTTGTTTTAACAAAAGTTTATTCTTAAATGTACAGCAGACTGCAAGACAACACTTCATTCTAGCTATCAGTTGCAAAAGACATTGTGGCAGGGAATCCAGATGTTTAAGTAGGAATGGAATCAGGGTCACCATCATTTCAGGCAGAAGGAGCAGCTGACTTTTTGCCAGATTTCTTAATTCTGCCTATGACTAGGAGCCCTTTCCTGCGGCCTTTGCTTTTAGTTTCTTCTGTTCTCTTTTTGTTTCTGTTTGTAAGCTTCATCTTCCTCACCTATCTCTTTGGCCTGCTTCTTGTGCTCTTTCAGGGGCTGCTTCTTGCTGGACACCGCACCTTGCCACTCCTCTCCAGACCCTGATCCTAAACTGCAAATGGATCAGACTGTATTTGCTATTTATTTCACTAACTCTAATCAGCTGTCTTATAAGGTGTGCTGTTTTTCATAAAGATATCAAAATATGAGTTTGTGGTTAGGGTAATAAAATTCTAAGCCAGGTGCTAGCGACTTATGCCTATAATCCTAGCAACTCAGGAGGCAGAGATTAGGATGATAGTGGCTTGAAACCAGCCCTGGCAAATAGTTCCAGAGACCTTATCTTGAGAAAAAAACCTATAAAAAAAAAAAGGGCTGGCAGAGGGATTCAAGTGGTAGAGTGCCTGCCTACCAAGCATGAGGTACTGGGTTCAAACCTCAGCACTACAATAAATAAATAATTCTATGATCTACCATTTCCATATGAAAATTGTAGCACTGTTATTGTCGAGTCAACCTTTAATGAGTAAAGGATAGGACATATTATACTTCTTATCATAATTTAGCAGTTCAGCAGAGTACATAGTGTGCATATGTCATGGCCTGTTTTGTTAAGTGTATTTTTCTTTATTAGTCAGGGACAAAGGGATCTTTCTGAGTTTTATTGTTGCCTGAGTTCTAATACATTAAACAGAGTTTTTTGATGTCTAACTTCCCCAGTACTTTCACATCCAATTACTTCATTTGGTCCTTTGACACTCCTAAAAGAGCAGGGAGTGTTTTCTGCATTTGGCTGATGAAGCAATGAAAGCAAGTTCCATGAAAACTGATTAACTGCTGTAATTGTAAAGAGTGCTGGGAACCAGGGCTAGAGAGACAAGTGGAGTTCTGTCCTCTGAAGAACTGCTTAAGAACCAATTGAGTTGAATTAGAACCCAGGTCCCTTGACTCTTACCCCCACATCTTTTCAAGTACTAGAATTATGTTGTTGCTTATTTTTCCATGAACTAATTTAATGCCCATCTTTATGAAGCTTCTGCTCTTCCCACTCCTTCTTTAATGCTGTATACATATATAGTTTTTCTTCCAACTGAAAATGTAATACAGGTTCTTTGTGGACAGTTTGAAAACTTTTAAAAAGCATAGAGTTGAGAATAAAAATTACATGTAATTCTCTGCATAGCTACAAAGAACTCTTGTTAACATTTTGATGAATGTAATTTTCATGTTCTTGCTCCTGGGTTTGTGTGTATATAAAATAGTTTATATTTATAAAATTTCAGATCCATCTAATCTTGAAACTGATTTTGTAGTGCTTTCTCTTTTCCTTTTTGAGATGAAAAGCTTCTTGAGATTGATTAGAGCTTTCATTATAAATTTATGATTGCTTACTCATCCTTTGCCGTTGTATTCAGTGCAGTTAAATGATGAGGTACACAGGAAGTGTATGGTTAATTTTGCTGTAATAATAAAGGTAGGAGATATGGAAGTCAGATAATGATCACAGGAGTACTCTGCTAATGGTTTTGGCTATGCTGTCTCTAGCTAGAGAAAGAAGGGATCATGTTCTGTTCTACTAGTCTTACTAGTCTTTCTCCGCTTGAATGCTCTTTAATTAATTAATTAATTAATATTTTGCAGTACTGGGGATAGAAACCAGGGCCCCATGCTTTCCAGCCAGGCTCTCTATCACTTGAACTTTGTCCCCAGCCCATAAACCATTTTAACCCTTCACAGCAGAAGCATGTTTTTTTTTGTTTGTTTGTTTGTTTGTTTTTGTTTTTTTTGTTTTAAGGCCACAACTCTTTCTGATGAAGTAACTAAATCTATTTGTGTATTTCACATTTGGGCACTTTATATTATTTTGAGTTATCTTAGATTTCAGTTCTTTAATTTTTTTTTTCTCCTTTTTTTTTCTTTGTGAGTAAAGTGGGAGAGTTTATTGAGATACAAAAGTAACAAAGAGTAGAGCTCCCAGAACTTGGAGGGAGCCCCAAGAAAGGGTGCCTCTTTTTCTGCTTTTTAAAGACAGGGTCCTGCTATGTAACCTAGGCTGACTCTGTTTCCCCAAGTGCTAGAATTACAGGCACGCACCACCATGCCCGTCTAGTTCTTTAGTTGTTTAAAGTCACATTCCTCCCAGCAGTGGGTGAAGTTGAGTCTGCAGCAGCTGCCATTAGTCGCACCTCAGAGTGGTACACAGACAGTAATTAAGCAGATGGTTAAGACTCTGGGGATTGGACACTGTATCTTTAAGCTGTCCTTTTGAAAGTAGAAAAGAATATTCATCCTTATGGTTTTTTCAAGGGCTTCACATTTTTAAAGCATTTATGTGGACTTCCTGGATTACTATTACTATTATTTTTTGAGATCAGAGCATGTGCAGGGTGCCTCTGATCCCCTGTCCTTTGGAAACAGCTGTTCCATAACTATTTCGAGAAATGGTTCTGGAAAATAATGAAGAATAGCCCCTGTGATCTCGTGTGATGGTTCTCTGAGGCCTTTCACTAAAGCAGGAAGTGCGCCATGGATCACCTGCTCTTTGGCTAAGTGACTAGTTTGTTTTTTGCTACTTTGTTTAGATGTAGCTAGCCTCCTTCTTAGCATTGAAATGGGTCCTGTTACAAGCATTGTTCTCTGATCATATTAAAGTGGAATGAGAATGGAACTAACAGTATGTTTTCCTCCTCTCTTAGATTCAGGCCCGCAACCAAAATGAAATAATTTTTGGGCTAAATGATGGCTACTATGGTGCTCCATTTGAACATAAGGTAAGAGGATTGTCCTGATGTTAAGGGTTTGGTTACTGCAGGTGTGCTAGGCACACCTGGGTAGATACAATTCTGAGAAACTATGCATATAGAATCATGCTTTAAGTATCATTGTAAGTTTGATCAGTGTGGCTTAGGTTGAATGCTTTCCAGAGGGAAACTTGTTCTGTAAGGCATACAACCTTCCACTTAATCTTTTCTAAATCCGGATTGTATTTTCTTTAAGGAAAAACCTGAACAAGCTGTGCTCTCTTATTCTACATAATTCTTTGGGAGTTAGAAAGAATGGTGACTTATGATTTTTTTTTTATTATTCATATGTGCATACAAGGCTTGGGTCATTTCTCCCCCCTGGTGACTTCTGATTAAATGCAAGTTTTATAATAGTAAATTTTTATAACTTTCAGTAAGTTTAAGAAACCAGAAGTCAAGCTGTTTGATAGTCTACACTGTCTCTACGTCCATCAGTGATTAGAGAAAGAAGAGGACTGAGCATCCCTATGTAACAGGCCCAGTTATTCAAGCTCTTTTTCCCACTTACTACTAGCCACAAACCAGTGGGGTGAGTTTTGTCCTCTTCACTTTATGGATAAGGACACAGATTGTGAAGGATGAACTTCTCAGGGTTTAGAAAGCTGCTGAGCTAAGATTAAAACCTATGTCCTTTCTTCACTATTTTGGTGTTTTTCCAAAAAAAAAAGAGAAAAATCTGAACTCTCTATATTATTTGCTGTAAGTGATCATGTTGTTTCATAATTCTTGGTTATCTGAAATTCTGTTGCATTCAACATCTTACTGAGCAACTGCTCTATGTCCACTGCTGTTCTCTTAAGTGCTAAGAATATAACAGTGAAGGTGGGTGTGGTGGTGCACCCTTGTAGTCTGAGCTACTTGGCTAAGATAGGAGCATCAGTTGAGCCCAGGAACTGAAGGCAAGCCTATTCTAGTGCCTTAAGAAAGGTCTTTATGGGGACTTTTCTGTTAAAGCTGCAGTCCTGATGATGAATGGAAATGAAGTATATGAGGGAGTGGGGGTGGAATGCAGATAGCATTCAAAGCAGAGGAAGCTAATACGTTGGAAGGCCACGAAGCGGAAGGGGACATGGTGAATCTGAGGAACTGAAGAAAGGTCTGAGTGATGAGGGTGAATGACACCAGGTGAGGTTGGAGAGGTAGGCATCACATAACCTTTTCAAGGATTTTACCCTGAGAATAGGGGCCTTTGTTGAGGGATTTTTAGCATGGCAATGATATAATCAGATATGTGTTTTAATGATTTTATTCTGGCCACAGTAAGGACTGATTGTAGAAGAGGCGAGAATATATGTGGGAAGACAATAAGAAGGATCTTGCAGTATATCAGGTAAGGGATGTCAATACTTTGGAACAGGATGTGGTAGAATAGATGTTTTTTCTCCTGTGGTGTTGGGACTTGAATTCAGGGCCTGGCACACACTAGGCAAGCACTCTACCACTGAGCCACATTCCAGCCCAGTAGATAGACTTAAGAAAGGTTGAGGAGAGTGTTGGTGGCTCACGCCTGAAATCCTAGCTACTCAGGAGGCAGAGATCAGAGGACCTTGGTTCGAAGACAGCCTGGGCAAATAGTTTGAGAGATCCTATCTCCAAAATACCCAACACAAAAAAGGGCTGGTGGAGTGACTCAAGTGGTAGAGCGCCTGCCTAGCAAGTGTGAGGCCCTGAGTTCAAACTCCAGTACCACCACCAAAAAAAAAAAAAAAAGGTTAAAGAGATGAAACCATTAGGACTTGGTAATGGTTTGAATTTTAGGTATAAGAAAAAGGGAGATGCCAAGGATGACTTTTGGATTCTGGCTTGAGGTAACTCTATGGATAAAAGGTGCAGGTACAGAAAACTAAGGGACACTGCAGGAAGACCAGGTTGGTGGAGGCAGATTGTGAGTTAAGGTCTGGTCATTTGGAGTTTGAGATGGCCTTTGAGACACCATGCATAAGTAGGCATTTGGATACATGAGTCTAGACTTCAGAGGGGAAACTAGGTTAGCCATATAAATGTGAGACCAATGGAAAGAGTGACTGAAATCACGTGTGGATAATTTAGACTAGGAACAGGCATACACTTAGAAAGTACAAGGCTACATAACCAAGTCTTGGGCCTCCAGCTGGTAAAGGCCAAATAGGGAAAGAGAGGCATCAGAAAAGGTGACTGAGAATGATGGTCAGAGGAAGAGAGAAAAGAGAGTAAAGTTGCTTGTAGAATTTCAGAGACCAAAGAAATAAAGGGTTTTTTCCTTCATATTAAAAAAAGTTTGTTTCTGTCTTTGTGTTAGTTTGTTTTCTTAAGGGAGGTAGTGGTTAAGTAAAATGAGGACTAAAAACTGCCCATTGTATTTATTAGCAAAATAGAAGTTATTCTAGATGATATCTTTAAAACTCAGTTCAAACTTGACATTTCTGAGATAGTGTTTCTCAAATTTTGTCCTGACTGACCACTAACTATCTTCTTGCCTCCGCCTCCCAAGTATCTGGGGTCACAGGCATGCACTACCATGCCTGGCTTTCAGATAGACTTTTCTTTCTTTCTTTCTTTCTTTTAAAGTTTCATCTTCTGATTTCTGTAGTATGTCTACATCCTATGTATCGCTTGGAAGAAGATAAGTCACTTTGTAACTAGGCTCCCCTTCCTAGGCTGTAAATTTTTTTTTGCAGTTCTAGGGTTTGAACTCAGGGCCTATAGGTTGGGAAACTCTGTAACCCCTGTTTTCTGATGGGCTTTTGAGATAGGGTCTCGTGAACTATTTGCTCAGGCTGGCTTTGAACCACAATCTTGCTGATTTCTGCTTCCGTAGTAGCTAGGATTACAGGCATGAGCCACTGGCGCCTGGCAGTCTATAAACTTTTCAAGGATAGATTGACATATGTGATACTGAATCCTCAATCCCTACCATTGACACTGGATTGTTGTTCCCCGGGTTTGTGTCCTGGCGCAGTCGATGATTGAAGATGCCAGACCAGGAGTTAAGAGTTAAAGCAAGCACAAACCTTATTGAAAGGATAGCAAAGGACCCTAACAGGTGGGACTTAGTGAAAGAGTTAAGCCAAAGAATGACTGAAGTCCAGGAGATGATATAGGGTATTAACTGGCTTAGGTCCAATTATTTTATATTTGTGATTGGCTGGTGCCTAGTTAGTTTCTCATAAAGTCCGACCACCTGTCTGTCCCTGTCCTTACTGAACTGGACATTCCAGGAGGGTCTGGTCAGCTCGTCCTGGCTTGGGGCCCACTACCCACATTATGCAGCTGCATCTTGTTACTTTGGTGAGAGGCTTGTTATTTCTCTGAGAAGCCTGTTGTTTCCCATGCCTTTTTAGATGTCTGCTTTTAAAGTGCTTCTCTTATCCAAAATGGAGTCACCTCTTTCATTGCTCCCCTTTTACCATGATTCTTGGGACTTGGTATTTGCATAATAAAATTGTTTGTGATTTAATCAGAGAATTGTGAGTCTGCTGCTGATTGTCATGCTGCATTTCCAGGGCTTGCTCTCCTGATGTGGTTGAGGCATTAAGTTCATTCTGCAGCTGGTAACTAGCTCACCATCCAGCACAGAGTCTGGCAATACTACGAATAATAACATTCACATCCTGGGAAGAGGTTTTAATGTTTGAAAACTATGGAGAATCAAAGAGGAACATTGGGAGTGGAGTGGACCTAGGTTGGTGAAAGCTAGGTGACTGTAGCGGTTTTCTAGGTTGCTTTAACTGCTAGGATGGCTACTGGGGGCTGGTGGAGAATAAAAGACTTTGAACTAATAAGCCAGAAATCTTTCAGTTCCCAGTTCAGGATTTTTGCCATAAATGCATACTCATAAGGTTGTCTTTGCCTGAATATCCTTTTGGCAACCATTGTTCTTTTGATGGATTGCTGGCAGCTACTTTGGGTGCATGCACACTCCTAGTGGTGAAGAATATGGTTTTGGTGGCAGCATAGTGTCACATGCCTATAATCTGAGCTGCTCTGGAGGTGGAGACGGGAAGATCACAGTTCCTAGCCAGTTGGGGCAAAGTTAGAGTTAAAAAAGGCTGGGGACATAGCTGAAGTACAAGGTCCTGGGTTTAATCTCCAGGACCACCAACAACCAACCAACCCAACCCCCAAAAAACAAACAACAGGCTTGGGAGTCACATTGATGTGGATTTAATCCCAGGCAAATTGAGTCATCTCTGACTTTCTTTTCTCCTCTGTAAATGCAGGTAACAATTAGTACCTCATCCTAAGTTGTTTTGAGGATTAAATATGGTAATGTACATGATGAGCCTGGCACATGGATAAATTTCAGTGATAGAGATTAGTACTCACCCAGTTTTGCACCCTGTGATGAGAGCGTTGACATCTTTGATGCTTACCGTTGTGTCAGCATTGTATCCCTAGCTCAGTGCCTGGTATAGAGTAGGGACTCAATAATCTTGTCAGTGAACACTTTCTGTGTCTAGGACTGTCATAGCAATAATTGGAAATAAAAACATCCAGAAGATGATATTTCTTTCATCTTGTTTTCCTGCTAGACTTGACTTTTTTTTTTTTTTGTGGTGCTGGGGCTTGAACTCATGGCTTACACCGTGAGCCACTCCACCAGCCATTTTTTTGTGATGAGTTTTTTAGAGATAGGGTCTTACGAACTATTTGCCCGGGCTGGCTTTGTACCACGATCCTCCTGATCTCTACCTCCTGAGTATCTAGGATTACAGGAGTGAGCCACTGGTGCCTGGCTACCCTCAACTTTTGATAATCATTTTTATGTAACTCATACTGGGCTATTGATCAAATGCAAAAATCATTAGACTACTAGGAATTCTTTACTCATGCTAAAAACTATAGTAGCAGTATCTTCAGAGTCCAGTAGATGGCACTGCTTCCTCATTTTAATGGAAAAAACTTACCCTGGAAATGGAATCCAAGTCAAAAGAATCAAATCTTTTCTAGTGAAATGAACTTTCAGGAGATTGAAATGACAATTTAGT